TTTCATTAGAAATGGAAATTCTCTTATCTAATTGACTTCTTTTCTTTTAAAAGCTCAGTTTTGTTCCTATTTATGTGGTAAAGAAAACATTTTAGTTAGAAATAGAGTTTAAAATGATAATATGCTATGTTGTATGCTTTGCTCTGTTGCCTACCTGGATTATAAATAATGCAGCAACTTTCTCTTTCCTTTCCAATAGTACTGCTTCATAGTGGTCTTGTAATGAGATGTGTGACATTCTGCAAGCTTAAATGGAGCAAAGAAGATCCTTCCTCTCCAGGGGTGTAGAGTCAAAGGCTGTGGCTGTTCAGTTTATAGCTGTTCTGGGCAGCAACAAACTAACATATTTCTTTAGTTGTGATCTTAGGAACACTCCCCTATTTCCATATCCACTAACCTACTCAGCCAGATCTTTGTGGATCAGAGGAAATGTTGTGCCAGAAGTAGGATAGATGAGCTGGGGTGCTTCCTCTTTATCCTGTGACTGCCTGGGCACTGCTTTACACAACAGCAGAGCAACCTGGGTCCCAAAGAGTTTCCAGGACCGTGAGTGTAATGCAAAGGCATAACCATCTACTGGAACTATCTGGGAAGGGATGGTGAGGCTTGCTTACCAGCAGTCAGTCTTTGGATTAAACAGGATACCACTACAAAGGGTTTGGCCACCCTGCGTCCTCCCACAAAGTACGCAAGTAAGGGAGGGATTTCTGACTGGGAAAGGTCAACCCTGCTCTGGGGTGTCACCTTTTGACAGTGGCAGAGGTGCTCTCCTTCCACAGTGGGGTACCCACACCCTCCCTGGCCCTGGAGGCAGAGGGCACTGCACCTGCAAGAGCTGATTGCAGCATCTGAAGGGTCCCAGAGGTTAACCCTTCCTTGAGTCTTCAACCCTTCCTGCTGCTCAAAGTTGGATTTTGGGCATATTTCTTTGCAGCAAGGTAAGGAACAAGCAGAGGAAAACCTCTGTTTTCTGTTGGGAAGTGCCTGTCATTCTTTGTCATGGACAGGCTCTGTGTCTCTGAAGTAGCCTTTTGATTGAGGCACCGGTAGGTTAGAGGGGGTTATTTAGTTTTTCATGTTTTGTTGTAGTCTCCTAGACCAGGTTCCCTCAGACATGGAAGTGTTTGAATGAGGCTTTGCAATATCAAGTGCTAAGCAAAATGTTGATTTTTTTAAATTCTTTTTTTTTTCCATGTATCCCTGAAGGTCAGAAATTTGCCAGATGCATGGGAATGAGGCAACCCTAACTTGGTAGAGCAACCCTGGTGGGAAACTTTTCACTTGACCCAGAATTCATATGCCATGTTCTTACTGCCTCATGTTATGGATTCCTGCCAGAGTGGACTTGACTAATCTTTGCCTGTGACTCAGAACTGAGATATGTTGGGAACCTCTTTTTTTTCTTTTCCCCTTTTGAAAACTGAAGTGAAAGTTTGTCAAACGGTACAGTTAAATGAGAGCTTGGCCAGCCAAATGAGGAAGTAAAACCTTCCTATAGAATGAGTTCTGTCCTGCTCACTGCACTTGTTTGCTCTCAGTTGACATCAGCCTTGCCATAAAGCCTCTAAATATGAGCTGGTGACTTCCTTGTGAGGCCAGTACTGCTCTGATTCCAGCTTCTGGCTGGTGAGTGGTGGGACGATACTGCTGGGCACAGAAAGAACAGCTGTCAGGTAAGGCACAGAGCCAGTGGGGTTACCTGTGAGTACACATCACTCTCTGGGCAGTTTGGCTTTATTATTTTTGGCAAAAGGAGCAGTGAGGTTGGGGAAGAAAAAGGCAAATTTTTCTTAGTCATCAAGACAACAAATGACTGATCTTGTTATTGAGTTTATGTGCATCTCTAATTTGTGAAAGTAAAAATTCTTGTTTTTCTGAAAGCAGAGTAGCCCATCTCCTTTCAGAGAAATACTGCAGGGCTTGAATGGGCTGTTAATCTTAGGCGGTTTGCAGCATTATTCTTGGGTGTGAAGGAGGAAGAAGAGGTGGCCCAGATCTAAGGTGAGAGTGGGAATGCTGCCATAGCAGGGAGCTCTTGCTGTGGTCCTTGTGTTATTCAGCACACACATATACTTTAGAGAAGACCTAAACCTGCTCTGCCCAGACCAATGCCAGGTCTGTCTGGGGCTGTGTCCCCTCTGCCTCTTCTCAGGCAGGATGTGGCTTTGGTAGGGGCTTTGAGGAGTCCTAGCTCCCAGTGAGTCAAGCTGGTCCTTATTGTGGTTCTGTGGCCTGAGGCTGCTGGAGATGCTGCACAGACACACATCTGCAGGGCACCAGGTCCTGCTCTGACTGGTCACAAGTAGAGCAAACAAACACCTGGTGGAAGGACAAGAAAAAATTATTCTTTACAGTCATTCAAGATGTAGTAGTTACCACCATTTTTTAGGAAAGTTTTTCAAATTATTATTTTCTAATCTTAAAAAATCTGTCAAAATAAAAGAAAGACAGAAGACCATAAGAGGTCTTTTGATTTTTTTGGTCAAAAGTACTTTTAAAAAATAGTTAAGATTTTACAAGTTAACATTTTAGAATGTTAAGATTAAAACAGAATTTTGGATACCTGACTGAAGCCATTTCCTCTGTGTGTGTGTGTGTTTGTGTGTGTGTGCATCTGGGGTCACAACAAGGGGTTAACAGACAGAGAGGGGTGCTTTTAAAGCAAGAACACAGGATAGGCACACCATTACCTGTGGATAAATTTAGCCAGGAAATGAGAAGATTTTGGCTTTCAGTGGAGTGAAAAAAAAAACAGCTTCCCAATGGGATCTGCTGTGATGAAGGGAGGAAAGCGGCAGGTGGAAATCTAAGTAGTTTGAAAACTAAGGTCACAAAGTTTATAAATGGGATTTTATAGCCTGTTTGTCTGTGATAGCAAAAGCTGGACTATGTGATGCAAAATTTCTCTTTTTGTGCTGGTCATAAGCAACCAACTCAGCTGTTGGACTTGGGAAAACTACTGACTGTTTACTAATGTGTAAGCTAGTGATATTTTTGTCCTGTAATTCCCTCTTTAGAAGGGTGACCTGACTGTTGTCTGTGTCAAGTACTACACATTAAGTGTTTTGAGCCACTGACCGCATACCTGGAAGCAGGTTTTGCTTCAGTGCTAGCCCAGATGTGATGGCTTCAGCTGTATTTATGTACATCAATGTATTTCAGCTCAGCAAATAGCTATTTCAAAGCTGAGAAACCATTTCAATAATGAAAAAGCAGTCAATTACATTTTCATCTTTAGTCAATGAATGAACAACAGGGATCAAATGTAAAAATTGTTATATTTATGGAGTACACTGTGAGAAAAACCAGTCACTGACTAAAATAAGCAATGCTTTGGTTTAGATGGAAAAATACACATGGCAACTGCTTTATACTTATGATTATGACATAGTTAAGGTATTTTTTATTTTACTGATGCAGTTTCTCATTTTTCATGTTGCCAGATTTCTTCCACAGAATACCTGATTATAAAGTTATAAAGCTATGTAGAAAAGTAAAGGTCAAAGTTGTATGAGGTGGGGTTATAACTAATTATCATGCTTTCCTGCTGAACTAATCAGTTTTAAATTAACTGAACACAATGTGGAGTTCTTCTCCACAGCCCAGTGGGGCTCTTGGGTAGGAGCTTCACTCTGATTCCTCTCTCAGCTCCCTGTTTCCACTACCTCCATGCCTTCCTTCACATGGTTTTGGGTTCTGAGCTCCTGGGGTGGCCTGCTGCTGGGCAGGGAGTGGCTGGCAGGCTGGGAAGGGGAGCTAGTGGGTGCAATGTCATTATGGCTCTGGGCTTGTCCTTGAGGTAGCTGTTTGGTCAGTTAATTCTGCGTCATTTGCTGACCGCAACCAGCAAAGGGAACAGGGTCACCCTTACATCCTAAATGTGGGTAGAAGAACCAGCCACAGCTTTTATCCAGGTAGCACCAATAATTGCAGTGATGTGGCAAGAGAAGCTCCAGTGCAAGTATACCAACAGTGACTGAAGATGTTTGGCTTGACGGATGAGTGGTTCCTGTGTATGTCCTTCTGTGTCACCCTTGTTGGGCTAAAGCAGTTCAGGGTATTTCTGCATGTGCTGCCCATCACCTTCTGTCACTGGGTAGACCAGAAACTTACATAGATAGTGCGGTTCTGGAGAAGCATGAAGTAGCTTTTTGCTACTTTTGCACACTCATTTCTGAATTACCAGTTTCTCTTGATAATAAATATAAGTGACATTGAAACTGCTTTCCAGATTGCCTATTGGCTGCTTCCAAGCACTGCCCTGAGAGCTTTCAAAAAACAAGCTGCTCCTCTGAATATAAAAGCCCTCACTGAAATAGCAAGTAACAGGAAAAGAGTAAGTCAGGCATTATCGGAATAGATGAGTGATAGAATTTCAAATGTATACTTGTGTGCATAGAGACAGACACATGCTAGGAAAGACAAAACTATAAAAAATGTTCAGAGTTCCCAGATACTTTGCAAACAGCATGTTTCCTTAAATCACTGGATAAAATGTGCTATACTTGTTAAGTTGCTATGGCATCTGAGCCCATCCAATAACATCTGAGAGATATTTATCGCTGGCTGACAAACCACACTGAGCAAGTTGAAAATCCCCCGGTTACACCGTCCTTGATATCATTTCCTGTGAGGTAAGTCTGAAGAACCAATTCACGCATACAGGCTGTCTGTGTAGAAGCAGGCTAGCATAGCTCATGACTTAAGATGACACCTGTCTGACATAATGTTTGGAGAGTGACAAACATTGTATGGGACACTCTGGTGATTTCATAAATAAGAGTGGACCAGAAAAATGCTTTAATACTGAGAGAAGACTGGACGGTCTTCTCAGAGAGAAGACAGCTGATGTGATGGTCTCTGCTATGCACTAGGCAAATAACTGAGATTACTGCACATTCTTCCTTTACACTTGTGTTTGGTTGTTTCTAATCTTTCCCTCCCTAAAGCTGATGCCTGTTGGACAAGCCTAGGAAGACAGGAACATTGGGTTTAAAGGAATGCAAATGCCTGCTAAGATGGCATTGACTGGTTCAATTTCTAGCAAACCAGTACCACCACGCTCCAAAAAAGTGTCTGCAGCAGGGGTGGAAGTGAACCAGAGCAAGCTGGATCTTTTCTGCAAGCTGGGCTATGGTAAGCAGGACATCTGCAAAGTGCTGGAGAACCTGGGCCCAGAGGCCCTGGAGGATGATGTGTTGAAAGAACTGATTCGGATGGGTAGTAAACCTCAAGCTCTGGAGAACCAGGCTCAGCCTTCCCCGCTAAAACTTGTTGCCCGTGGGTCATGTAGCACTACACCAGGGTTGAAGCGGCTTGGAGAAGACGAAAGTGATTCTTCCGATTCCTTGAGACCCATTGTGATTGATGGCAGCAATGTTGCAATGAGGTAAGCTCCATTTCCTCAAGGGGGTCTCTCTTCCTCTGAAGCTTTTGAATTTTAAAGCTGATGGCTTGAAGTATGTTTTTTCTTCAGGTGAGAGATGCACTGATGTATTTGATGTATAATGTACGAACAATCACTTATTCCTTTTCTTTGGCTAATGCACAGGTTCTTGATATCTTGATGCCCGTAAATATGCACGTCGCATGCAATCACTGGCTCGCTCTACTTTTTGACCTTTTATAAGGCAACAGCTGGCTAGCCACTACTGTTTGTGGCAGTATCTCTCCCTTTTAGCTCACCATTGAATTTCCTTGCTTTTTCAAATGGGTGCCTAGGATTTCTGAATCTATACGCTGAGAAGTTTCCAGGAAAAACTGATGAACAGATAGACAGACCCACTCAACTAACCTAAGAAGGAGAGGGGAAGTAAAGACCAGTGACTGTGGTTCCTAACAATATCACAGTTGTAATGTTTTGACTTGTAAGTAAAACCCAAAAATGTTCCTGGCTTGTATATTTTTTGTTGGTTTTAGATTTGGCTTCAGTTTTATGGAATTATCAGGGAATTGATAGTTGACCTGCAATGAATAGACTCACTTCCTCCTTAATAATTCTGTTTCTGGGAAATGTCACATCAACCCATCCTGTCCAATTACATTTCCTAAGCAGTGCCCTGTCATTATGAAAGAAGTCTTACTGGTGGGGAACCTGGCATGTCCATGTGGATGGGATGTCCAAAGACAGCAGTGGATTGGCTTCTGTTTACCCAAGCAGTATGGACAGCAAGAGACTCCAGGAGTCAAGAGTCCAGGATGCACTGGCTATTCATCTGCTTTCTCTGTTAACTTCCCTGTCCACTCAGCATGGTCAAGCCTGTCCCTGCAGGCTGGGACAGGGCAAAGGAGGGCTTCCTCCTTTGGTTTGCTGTCCTGTGAGGTGAGATGAGACCACATTCCCTCTGGTTAGAGGGCAAAGTGGACAAGCAAATCCAAAGCAACTGGAGACTAAGCAAATTATGCCATCTTCTGGGTGAAGGCTGAAATTCTCGCTGAAAACAAGGGTTTCTTGCTCAGGGTGACTCATGAGGAGTGGGAAATACACACCAGAGCAAAATTGCTTGACCTTGTCTGGGCCATGAGGTCAGGTAGCCAGGTGTTTGGACCTCCTGCCCCACTTTGCATTTTCACCCTAGCCCCTTCTCAAGGTGTCCATCTTGCTTCTCCACAGAAGAACTGATCACCCACTCAGGCAGCTTGGCTGAGCTGCTCACCCACCTTTCCATTGTGCCAGGGACAATATTACTCCTCACAGGTCATGTGCTCTGTTCTCCAGTCTTTTGGCACAACCTTATCCTCAATGATTTACCAAGGCTTATTTTTACAACAGGCAGAGGTGGACAGGGCAGGGGACAGCATTGTTTCCAAGATGACAGAAGCACTCTTACCACTGAGCAGGAGGCTCACAGTAGGTTGGCAGCTGATGAAATAGGGCATTTGTTGAGCTTGGAGTACTGTGGGAAAGCTCTGAGATCATCCTTCTGTGCCATCCTGTGCATGGGAGCTTGCTAGACAGAGATTATTTAAACAAGCATTCCAGGTATGTGCAGTGGATGGTTTGAGCTAGCATGCTGTATTGCTTTCCTAGACCACATGCCCACCAAAATGGATTTTGAGAAGCCACACATGCTTGTGGCATGTAAATTTAAATTTTTTTTCTAGATAAATTCCAAAGCATGAGTCCAAGAGATGTTTGCCTGATAGGTTATTGAAGTCTGGTGTTCTGATTTGGAGGAATTAGAGGAATGTGAAGCAGTTTTGAATTTCAGAAAACCAAAGGTTTTACAGCTCTTCTCAAACATCCCAACCTCTGTCTTGATAAAGTTAAAGACTACTTGGATGATGGAGGAGACTATTGAGCTTGTCAGTTCAGCTGGTACTGAACTGGCACAGCCTGGGAGGAGCTGCTTTCCTATCTTGGATGCCTTTCAAAGTGGTGCTGAATGGCATTTACTTTGGCTAATGGGATAGGCCTAGTGAGTGTTTTCAGTATCTTTGTTTTAATTTTTCTGGTTTGCTGCTGTCAGACAGAGAAGGACTCTTTGCAGAAGTTAGGGGAAAAGGATGTTAGGTCTCCTTGCTGGGAAAAACTGCATCACCATCAACACCAACAACCATAAAAGTGGAGCAGAAGCAGCAGTTTAGGGATGAAACAATTAAAAAGTTAAAGCTTCAAGAGGCAGTTGCCTGTGTGGAGAAAAATGTCTCAAGCATTTGTATGTATATCTTAGGACTGGTATTTTTGGAGCATTTCAGAGTTGGCATTGAGGGCCTACTGCAGACTGCAAGGTTTTGAATAGGATGTATATGCCCCAGGGTAGTAAAGCGAGTGAGTTGGCAGTCTTCAACCATCAATCAGCTTACCCATAGAAACTGAATGGAAAATAACCTTGCCTTCAGCCAGTCTCACTCATCAAATGTCTCAGTACACTTCGTGTTTCCATCAGATGTAATGAGAAACTTAGCTGCCTGCCAGCCTATCCATGGGAAGTGGGCAGGATGGTTAGGACAGCTAGTGGAAAAAATAAATGGAGTTGTGTTAATATGAAAACGGAACTGTCATAACCCTATTCACTGCACACCAAAGAGGTTATCTACTCTAGTGTTTGCACTTGCACCTAGTTTAAAAGCTGTGATAGGTACAAAGGCCCTGTCCTAGGCCACTGCAGCCCTGCACTAGGCTCTCCCCTTTCTGACAAAGCTGTGACAGAGGCTGTGTCATGAACGGGTGGAGATGGGGCCATCTGCAGTTTTCAAAAGGAGTTGTTTTGCCTAAACTTCCTCTCAAAGGAGTTGGAATCGCACTATTTAAAAAAAACTTACTGCATGCTAATGATGGCAGCGATGCTAAATTGCTGCTTCATTTTCCAAGAAATGGGCCATGCTGGTCTGTGACTCAAGTGCAATGTAACCTGTTGCTGGCAGGACGGATAGATGAGACTGAGTTACGACATATCAGTTATGGTCCACAGACTGGACATAACTGACTGACAGGAGCTGATCCGTGACCACACAGGGAGAATGTAGAGCTCTGAGTCCCCTGCTCTGCTGCACAGCAGATGCTGGCATTGTGTGGACACTGCAGCACACCACACATGTACATACTGGTTTAGATACACGGTCCCCAGGTTTGGCTGTAGCAATGTAGCAGGAAATGGATTAAGTGATAATGCTGAGAAACAGTTCCAGGTGCCTCATTTGCTTGTTCTGCTTGGCCTTTTGGCTGACTCACTTGTGCTTGACTACCCCTTCTGCACTGGGGTATATCTAGAACAGCTTTCCTAAAGCTCACAGGATTATATATATAAGTAGTCAATGTTAAAGAAGGCTGTTGCTGAACTTTCTCTGAGTCGTGGCATCAAAGATGTACCTAGAGTGTCTTTTAAAGGCGGTTATCTGAAAAAGCCACTCAAACTTCCAATTCACCTGTCCAGGTGATGTTATGTGTATCCTGGGTAGATTCTATCATTTAAAACCAAACAAAACAGCTGTTCTCGATGTGTCGAGCACTTCAGACCATTTATTATTGCTGAGGTTTTTGTAAGGCTTCCTATTGCCTTGGTATCTATTAATAGGCAACGAGGTTTCTTCCTCCAAATTGTGCTATTTTTCATTTGTGGTCACCATTTCAGGATGGAAACTTCTATTGGGTGTAAAATGGAGCTTTGGTTATGAGGCTGATGTAAGCAGTACCTAGAGATGAATCCCCAGGGGATGGTGATGGGAGAGTCATTTAAGACTGCAGCATCGTCCTTGACTGCTCTGTCACTGTAGGTAGGTGTAGTAATTGAGAGAGTAATTTACAAGTCCATTTTCCAGAGGTGAAAGCCTGAGTGAGACTGTGGTGATATTATCCAGAAAGGTCAAAGTACAAGGATGAGGTTTCTGTACATACTGAGAGGGTGTTTATTCATTTAGGACCTTGTGTAGAGTTTATTTTAGTTTCCTTGTGCAGAGGTAGTTAACAAATTACCTTCCTTTACACATGGACTGCACTGTAGTTGAATTTTAGATAAGTGAATGCCAAGCAGTATGAACTTTCAGGGAGAGGGAGAAACTTAGAAAACAACCTCAAGAAAAACAATTAGAGGTGATATCCTTTCTGTCTTATGCTGAATATTGATAATTCTTCAGAACCCACCTTGCTGGCATCCTCGACAACACTTGTTCTAGGGCTTTCCTACCTCTCTGTGCAATGAAGACAAAATCCACCAACTAGGGCAAGATAAAAGTGGTTATGAGGTGCCTATGGTCATCTCCACTGATGTCTTGTCCCATTTTTGGTGTCCTGGGTTAGGGTCCCTATATTTTCCGTCCTGCCTCTTGCAGTTTTTCTTCCCCCATAGTTTGTCTTTCCTTTCCGAAAGAGATCAGCAGTTGAATGCCCCGTGATCACACTTGCAGCCGCTTCAGCCATTAAAATCTCTGATGGTTCTGTTACCACAGAAGAAAATTACCACACTTGGTTCTCACTGGAGAGCCTAATGGATTTCTGCTGGTGCTGGAAGAAACTCTCACTCCTCAAAAACCCTTATCAGACAAGGCATGTAAAAGGTCTGACATGACCTAATAACTTGTTGGTACTTTAGGACCAAAGTGCACCCAGATGTAGATATAGATGGAAGTAACAGGCTTGGGTCACAGAAATGGGAAATAGGATATCTCTGTTTTTAAGCATCCAAACTGCTTCAGATAAATTTTTTTGGTTCTGCTTCTGAAGAGGTGTTTAGATCTGTTCAACCAGGACACCCTGCCAGGTTGTTTTCTTGGAAACTGGTGAATGACACAAAAGTTGTTTATTTTTCCTTTTCATCACTGGCTTGGTTAAAGAGAACTCTAAGCTTCATAAAAGCTTTGTCTCATCATCCTCCTTTTTTTTATAGCCATGGAAACAAAGAGGTATTCTCCTGCTGGGGGATCCAGCTGGCGGTGGATTGGTTTCGAGAGAGGGGGCACACATACATCAAGGTCTTTGTCCCACTCTGGAGAAAGGAGCCCCCTCGACAAGACAGTCCCATTGCAGGTAGGTGACCATCCTGGGTATAGTTTGCAGTTTAGAGACAGAGGGGGTGTGAAGAACCCAGTACAGTTTTGCCCTGCAAAGACAAGCATAGCTCAAGTTGTGTATCAGGCTTCCCACCACTCAAATTAGTCATTAATTCATTGCCCCATTCACTGCTCCTGGCTAGTAGCTAAAATTACTTATAAGGATTTGTTACACTGCTTTGAACCTTCTGCTTTACAAGCACAAGTTGTTGCCAGCAGAGTTAAAGAAGGAGTTTTTCAGCTCACAGTGAGTCTACAGAGCTTTTAAGTCCAGCCAGGAGGCAGCGACGTTCATTACTGCATGACTATTATCTGTTAGCCTGTTACCCCATACAGAAGGTACACGGAACCCTCATGGAAGAGGGTTCCTCTTCCAGATGAAGAAAGTGTATCAGCAAAAGTCTGTGGAGGAGAGTGAGACTCAGTTTGTATGGGAATAAATCTGCAGGATTTGTGCCAGCAGTTTGGCTGCAGATGAAGCATCTGGGGATCTGCCTTTTTGCAGACCAGGAATGGTGAGAAGTCAGAGTGTTCTAAATAGCAGCAAAAGAAGTTTATTTCTTTGTTTTATCACACACATTTTATCTCCAAATAAAGCTCACACCAGGGCTGGTTATGAGCCTTCTAGATCTAGCAGGGTAAAAAGGGCACTACAAAGGTTCAGTATGCCTCTGGTGTAGAATTCAAGGCATCCTTTTTGGTAAGACTTAAAAATAAAAAAAGGGTGTCTCAAATTTTACAGGTTGCCAAATAACCACTAGATATCAGTGCATCTGAAAATCACAATGCTGTAAGTTGCCTAAATTGCTGAAACATCTAGCAGATGATTGAGACCTGGTCATTTTTAATTAGTTAGTTTCTTTATTTTCTTTCCTACCCCCCTCATCCTATTCATTTCTGCTAACCACCCAATCAGATCAGCACATTCTTGAAGAGCTTGAAAAGCAATCGATCCTTGTCTACACACCGTCTCGGAAGGTGAAAGGCAAAAGGGTAGTTTGCTACGATGATCGTTATATAGTGAAAGTCGCTTATGAAAAAGATGGAGTCATCGTTTCCAATGACCACTACCGGGATCTCCAAAATGAAAACCCTGAATGGAAATGGTTTATTGAGCAGCGACTACTCATGTACTCTTTTGTCAGTAACAGGTAAGAGACAGTTTGTGTTATATAATCTAGTATTTAAACATTATGGGCCAAGTCAGCTCCAACAACAATGCACAACCCACCAGGAGCAGAATACATGAGCCTTTTTCTGAGAGGAATTTACTGCAACTTCTCTTATCTTGTTTCTTGAGTTCCTACTCCCTCAGGAGCAGTCTACTACTTGGTGTTAAACTCTCCCATGTCACTCTTCTGTGAACTTTTCTATTTGAGTGACAGCATTAGTGACCAGCTTTGCTTCTTTCCAATTCAAGCTGGGATGTTAAACCAAAGCTTGGTATCTTCTAATTTCTATTTCTTATAAGAAAGAGAATTAAATCCATGAGAGAAGGCTGGCTGGCAGTATTTTTAATTCTCCTACAAGACAGAACAGCACTTTTTCCTGTGCTTTTGTAATCATAACTTTCTAGAATAGAAGAGACAGGAAGCTGATCTCTCTTCACCATCCCCATTGGGGAAGGTTTTCAATAGGGCACTTGCACCATGTCTGCGAGGCTGAGCTCTCCTCAGTCTATACATACTAAACTCTCCTGAGTTTCCTAATAGCTCAAGTGTTCTGGGAAATGCACACCATTGAGACATCCAGTGTGTATGGACAAGTGCTTACATCCATGACTTTTTTTTACTTTTCCAGGTTTATGCCTCCTGATGATCCGTTAGGCCGGCATGGACCTACTCTTGATAACTTCCTCAGCAAAAAGCCAGTGCTTCCTGAAAAAAAATTGCAGCCTTGCCCCTATGGTGGGTTTCTTCTCATGCTATGAACTGCCCCTCCTCTTCCTCCTGCCCCTTACATCCCAGTGGTGCTTTCCTTCGGTTAAGGGCAAGTGACATTGCCATGTGCTGTCCTGCTTTGTGTGGTAGGAACTTAGGTTGGGGCTGCTCTAAAGTGTGATGCTTTTTCCCTCTCCTGCTTAAGTGGCTTCAACCTCAGCCAAGGCAGCAGCTGTTTCTGGCTCCTCCATCCTTGCCTGCACACAGCACCCAAACTGGGCGCCATGGCTGTGTTGACCACCCTGCCTGCACACATTTCTCACTTTGTGAAGTGAACTTGTGCTGTAGCACTTGGGAAGATCCATCCAAATGCTTTTTCCCTTTCCCCTCCCAACACCTCTCCAGCAATGTGCAGGTTTCTCAGAGGTAAACCTCCATGCCATTTCTTAAAGCAATCCTTTGTAGCAGCAGATGTCCCAGCCCACCGAGTGCAGGAATCAAAACATAAATGAGTATCAGACACTTCCAAAATAGCAGAAACTTCCTTTCACTGTTGCTTCACCCTGTTATTTATGTCACCATTATTTAAATCTGGGGTCAACAGTACCAAATCTGAAAATAGCGATTCCTCTTTTCCCTGTTTGCTCTCATCACACCCCTGCAAATGCCTGGTGCTGGGGAGAAATGATGAGTGTGTTAACTGATGTTGGTGCTAGTGACAACCTTCTGCCTGATATTTTTGACTCTTTCAGGTAAAAAATGCACCTATGGCAATAAATGCAAATTTTATCATCCAGAGAGACTACGTCAAGCTCAGCTTTCAGTTGCTGATGAGCTCAGGGCCAAAACAAAGGTCCTGTTAACCCTGGGGAAAGAGGAGAAGAGATGTAACTGCTCACTGTACAAGACCAGAGGAGAGCCTGCACCCTGTGAAGTCTGCACAGAAACTCTGCAAGAAGCCAGAGGCTGTGCAGGGCCTTCCTTCTACTCAGGGAGTTCCCAGAGGAGCTGTCCTGAGCAGATATCCGGTGCCTGGGCTGGTGGTCCCAGCTCTGACCTGGGGCTGGACCAGTGCTTGCCACAGCCAGAGCCGTTGCGAGACCAGCCGCTCCTGGAGCAGATGTCAGCCATGTCCATTGGTGATGGCACCTACACCTCTAACTGGTCCATACAAACCTCTCAGGACAGGGAGGTGATGGACAACTCTCATCACTGCGGTGACCTCAGGCACAAGCTGTTCTCACTTCACCATTCTCATAGCTTGGACCACACCTGCTCACTGGGGTGCCCTTTCCAGCAAACAGTGCTCCCCTCTGTGCGAGGCGGGATGTGCCCAGAGCACAGCTGGCCTCGTGAGTGCTGTGGCATGCACAGAATGGGGCAGAGGAGCTGCTATGTCCCCGATGGTGCTCAGCACAAACAGATCCTGGGGACTCAGCAGCATGTTTTGCTGCAGTCCACAGTTCTTCCCCCTGGCATGCTTCACTCGTACAGTGAACACCAGCTGCAGCAGCAGCAGCACTGTTCCCCCAGCCAGCCCCCACGGCAGCCCTTCCTGTTAGACTCCAGCCACAGACCGGGCTTCTACCAGAAAGCCCATGCTTACCCCAATGCCTCTTACAGTGACTACTGGCCCACCCCAGCTGAAAGGCCATCCTCTGTCCAGCAAGTAAACATACACAGGGAGCTGCGCTCCCTTTTTCCTTACAGCGAGATGAACCAGGTCATGACTTTGTACCCTGATATCAAGGATAAGGGGACTGGAGCTCCTCCCCTATGAAGACAGGCTGAGAAAGTTGGGGCTGTTCAGCCTGGAGAAGATTGCTTGGAAACCTCATAGCACCTTCCAGTATCTGAAGGGGGCCTAGAAGGAAGCCAGAGAGGGGACTCTTCATCAGGAACGGTAGCGATAGGACAAGGGAGAATGGCTTCAAAGTGAAAGAGGGTATGTTTAGATTAGATGGGAGGAAGAAATTCTTTTCTGTTAGGGTGGTGAGGCATTGGAACAGGTTGCCCAGAGAAGTGGTGGATTCCCCAACCCTGGCAGTGCTCAAGGCCCATGTTGGATGGGGTTCTGAGCAACCTGCTCTAGAGGAAGGTGTTCCTTTCCATGGCAAGGGGGTTGGAACTGGATGATCTTTAAGGTCACTTCCAACCCAAACCATTCTATGATTCTATCATATTGCTTGTTTGGCTTTACTGATTCAAAGACACAGAAACTTGTGAAATCTCCAGAGCAAACCTTTCCCAATAAGCACAAGTCCTAGGGCAAAAAGATGCTACTCTGAGGCTTAACTAAGTGTTATTGAAGTGTGTTATGGCAAGGGTTGCAGCTGTTCCAGGAATACAAGTATAAGCATCAACCAGCTATGTTGCATAGGACATCGAGTCAAGGCAAAGGCTGTCATCCACTGCAGTGGGATCGCATTCCACCTCCCAGGAAAGGGAACAGCACGGCTTGGGGTAACTGGGCTGTCAGCATTTGAACCTCACTGGTGACTGGATTCAGGATGGCATAGAGTTTCATTAATGCCCTGAAACATAAGGCAAGTTGGGACTTTTGAAGTCCCAACCCATTGTTCAACTTTCACTGTTCTCAGTAACGGGCTCCCCCATGACCTCCCCGTGACTACTTGCTCAGCTAGCATAGAAAACTATTTGGCCATTTGCCCCTAACATAGGGCTGTGCTCTCTGCTAGAAGGCATCTTTGGGTCTGTGTTATTATCCGATACAAGCCCAGCCTGATATAAGTGAGCTTTCAAAGACATATTTCATGTTTATTAAGCAATGCTGAGAACACACAGAGGCACTAGCAGAGGTGGTGGAGCTACACCAGAGCCCTTGAAGGGAACCGCAGGTACATTTCTCAGGTATCACACACAACATTAGTCAAATCAAGGAAGTCATCTTCAATGTAACTCCTGATGTGGACTGAGGGCTAAGGGTTGGTAATTAAAAAAATTCAGAAATCCAAATGATGCCAAGAGGAGAAAAGGAAGAAAAAAAGCCTTAAAGCGTCTCTTGTATTGAATAAGAAAACTATTGTTGACTTAACCCTTTATTACTAAATGTGGCCCCATAATGCAATTATACAGATAATTTATGATTACAAATATTTAAAATATGTCCTGTTGGGACATGTTTGATTTTCAGTAAGCTGTAAAGCTGCTAATTTCTGTATTATTCCACTGAATTCTTCAGGTTATAATTCAAATACTAAGGTTGACCCTGAGGGTTTTGGCATTATACCAAAGTTTAAGTATGTCAGTATGACATGTTTTAAAAATGCTTTAACACATTACAAAATGTTCATCCATAACACTTTGTTCTGGATAATGTCTTCCTTATTTTCTGGGGCTTGTTTGGACTTTTTTTTTGGTTTTGTTTGGTGTTTGGTTTTGTTTGTTTTCCAATCCTCTTAGCACTCATGCTTCATCATTCAGGTAGGATTTTCAAACTCTCTGACTCTGCAGTATTTAATTTCTCTGAAGTGCAATCAGTATTGTTGGTTCCAGGCAGGAATTAAACATGATCATCACTGAGAAGTTGGAATTCTCTTGCTTTTGAAAAGGGAGTAGTAATTTACACGTAGTGACATTATCACACGATGCATTTTTTGAAAGTGGTTTTCCCTCTGGAAACCACCACCAGCTCTTTTTTTTGGTGGTGGTGTTTAAAGAATCTTCAGGAAATAAGTATACTGTATCTGTTCAATTTCTTTTGCCAATGTGGTTGGCTCCAAGAAATTATAATTTGGAGTTTGGAGATATGATTTATGTTCACAGAACATGACAGTTTTTTCCATTTGTCATATGGATTGTCAGAATGGCTTATAAACTTATCCACTGCATATTACATAAAGATTAGAAATTGTATTGAAAAAGCCCTATGGAATAAATTCCCCATGAAGTGCTTTGAAAAGTACTTGAGTTCTACAGCCACGGTTATTTGCACTGAGATACACAATGCATCTCACCTACACAGAAGCAACTTGAGATATTTCATGAATCAAATTCCTACATTGTGCCTATGCAGGGCCAGGCACATCAGCTTGCCTTGCAACCTGTACCAGGTCTTTCCCAACTACTGCTGTACACATACATACACTTGCAGAGTGGAAAAATACCTTTCACCTACTCCAACAAAGCAAGTCCCAAATGACAGCATTCAGAAAATATACCACAGCAACAGATCAGGATATAACTGTTACATGTCAACATTTATTTTCATGTCTGGAATGTACATATATCTTCTAACACAGAAAGCATTTAAAAATCTACAGGAAAATTGGCACACTGCCTCTATATGGTGCCCTCAGCTTGCTGGAGACATGCATAAGCTTTTCTCCTTTTCCTTTGAGGATACACAGGAATTTGGTGGTTGTTCAAAAGCCTCTCTCAATGTTCAAGAACTTATTTTTCTTTCACTTCTGTCTTATTACTGAGTAATCTTTTAGTAAAGTACATAGAATGTGCATTCTGCTGAGAAAGTGTTTGAGAAAATAAATCAGACTTTGGTGCTAAACAGAAATTGATTTCTCTTGGCTCTTGTGCTCACCAGAGGGTTTTTTCTCATGGAGATTTTGTTTGAAGGGCAGCTCAGCAGCAGCGCTGTGTCACTGCCTGCTTGAGAGGAGCTCTGCTGCTGGCCAGAAGCCCACAGAAAGCACAGACCCTTTCGTTATTTCACCACAGCACAAGCACATGGGGCTCATGCTCCAGGGCCCTTTGCACTTTCAAAAGCAGGAGAATTTCTTTTTGCCTTTGTCAGCTCCTGAAATAAGGAAGGGGCTGCTAACAGAAAGGAGGTGGCAGCTCTTATACAGACAGAGTAGGAGGCTGTTGCTATTTGGTATCTCTGCTGAGATGCATTTAAGGCCAGCTCTCACTGCCAAGTTGAAAATGAACCCATAAATCTTAACAGGCTCAGAAAGCCCTTGATGTTCTTTGCTTTTTGGTTGTCAAGACTCTTTTGGAAGCAGTGGGAGTAATCCTTCAGGAGATGGGCCGCTTTCCCAAGGGAGATTTACAGTGTTGCCAAGTTAATTTTAAGATTAAAAAAAAAAGTCAGAAAAGGGAATCCTCTTACTTTCTCTACTCTCACCCTTTCCCAAACAGTCAGGAATCCACCAACATCCTCCCTTGCAAGAGGCTAGGGAAACTATACACAAATATTTCACTGAGAAGTCTTGGGTGGAGGTCACCCCTGCAACAACTTCGCAGCATAAAAAGGGGGAAAGAGGGTGATCCTCTGCACCCCATGCAGTCCTGGGCAGCTCACAGTACCTCCCTCCCACCTCTTCGTAAATACAGAAATATCTCCTTCACAGAACATCGGTGACAAGCCTACTAATGTGGTAAGCTTAGGTACCATAAAAATTAATGCCATAAAATAGTGCATAAAGTAGATAATCCTGCTCTGTATCAAACACTTGTATTTGCCAATTATTCTGAGAAGTTTAGATAATATTTTAACTCAGTTCCCATAAGAGCTGGCACAATTTATAAGCAAGCATTTGAACTAATCACAAACAACTAAATAGAACATGACTTCTCTTCTCCTTAAAAATGTTGGACTGCTAGAGAAGAACAGGTAAGGCCTGTACTGCACCAAGTGTGACAGACCTCTGCATTCACTCATGTATATACAATAGTCCTGTACCATCTACCTCCTATCTGCCGATGGGATGCTTCGAACTCTTGTGCAGTGTTTAATATTACAGCATTATTAAAATTACAGCATTATTAAAAAGTGCTATGACTTGTAATTGTTAGTGAAGGGATTTTTTTATAGCATTTTAGCCATGTCCCTTCTCCGCCCTAAGGTGGGCTCACTGCCTTGAAGTCTTGCAGCAGGCTCAGAGGAACTCCTTAGTAAGATGTACTGGTGTGCTGACATGGAAAATGCAAACAAAACAGACATGCAAGTGGAGCAAAGCTGTGAACACAGCGATTTGTGGGGACAGCACATGCGAGGCAGTGAGCCAGAAAGTTAGGACAATGCATTCATGGTTTTGAGCACAGTAAGGCAATCAGATGATGTGCATCTGCCGATGAACAGCAGCATTAGAATTGTTCACTGTAACCACACTGCTGGCTCCTCCTCTTTCCCTGAGTCAAGCAGTTTCCTCGTCTTCCCTTTTTTCTCCTATTCCTGCTGGGCTCAGGATTTCCATTGCAATCTTTATGGAGTGGGGCACAAGTTACCAAACACCTTGTCACCCCAAACCCTCTCCTTCTACCTCCACAAAACCATGCATCCCCACCCACTGCCAGCCCAAACTCTAGTTTTGTGCTCCTTTCACTTCCCTGCTACCTCCCTGCATGCTCACCTCCTGCCTTGCTGTCCCACATACTCCTCCAGCTCAAGCCCAGATAGCATCCTATCTCTCCCTTCCCCTCTGCCCTCCAGCTGAAGGGTTTTTTTATGGGTTTCTTTTCTATTTTCCTTTTCTTTTTTCTTATTTATTTTTTTTTAATATTGTTTGGTTTGGGTTTTTTTGGTGCTGTTAAAATCATGACATAAATGGTTTTGGCCTGGTAGAGGTATGATACGCTCAAGCTGTTTTCCCATAGCACCTTAAAGCAGTCTTCCCAGCAAAAGCTGTTTGGGGAAGGAAACAGGCAAAGTTACATTCATAGGTGCTTGTGCTGACTTCATACAGCTTTCTTTTCTCTAAGGATCAAAGGGGATGCTAGCAGAAACTCAGCCACCATATGCTCTTAAATCCTACTGTAAAAGCCACATTCATCCTTCACCTACTATTCCCTAGTTTGTACATTTGAGGGAGCTATTAACACTACTGGTTT